AGTATGTTCCGCTCAATAACAATGTATGTTATGGACATCATTTTCACTCAAAAAACCACACACACGTTAAGGAGTTTCATATTGTATATAAAAAGTTATCAAGAAAAACTTTTGGACAGTGAAAATGCATGTGAAGGTTTGATCTATAATATTAGTCGGTTTACGCCTAACACTAGGTAATATATATATATATATATATTGTTGTTGTTGTTGTTTTTTACCTTCACGTTCCCCAGTGGAACATAGGGCTTCAAGCTACTGGCCTGAAGTTTCTGTAACAGTGTTTATTTTACAGGATGGGGTTGCTAGCCTCATGCCCGACCTTTCCTCTTTACCAGCGTCGGCCAGGGATCGAACCCCGGACCATGTGCATGGTCGGTGAGCGTCCTAACCGCTATGCCACCGACGCACTTATATACATATTTATATATACATCATTAGAAAGTGTGGCAGTTCAAGTTGTCACGATAATACCAATAAAGCTAAGGGTAGATAAACATTACAACAGACAACAGCATGTCACAAAATAAAAACGCATCAAATAATGAATATACCTGCACTATTATAGCTGATCTTAGGCTGATTCACAGACAGCTTCCAACCACTTGTACGTAAAAGTAAGGAGGATTTCATAAAAGCATCCTTGTAGAATTCAGGACTCAAAGTGGACGTTAACAGAATGCACTTCTGTCACTGTAGTGCATAACTCCGCCCCCTTACACTTGAATATAACATTACCCACCCTACAGATTCATAATAAGCGAATAATTTTACGAATAGAGAGTTATGCTCCTCTACTTCTTCTTTGCTTTCTTTACTCAACAATTTACGAAGGCATAAGGTAGCATAGATGAGAAGTTATGAAGAGAACACTCTTTGCTAAACTATGTTTTTTTCTAATTTAGATGAAAAGTATTTTCCATGCTCTAACAATTTGTCTCCTTTCAGTATTGCTTATCATATGACTTCAACTGGTGTGAAGCATACCATCGAGACAGTTATAGCCAAAACCTGTTATCTTTTTACATGGTTTACTTTATCAGGGCAGATTCACTCAAGGTCTATATTTACGTCAGTTTTGAAATCCTGTCGCATGATTTACTTTTCTTTTGGTAGCACTACTTGACAGGAGAACTATTAGAAAACCAGAGAGTGATGTAGAGCTTTCATTCTAGTTTGTGGCTTAACAGTACTCACCAACTGGCATTAGAACTTAGGACCTTTCAGGTTATAAGGGCAGCTCACATATCATCCATAATCAGTCTTGAAATCAATCAAACCCCTGCACTTGAAAGTTAACCTGATTGCTGACTAGCAACTGGTTCTATACAGGAAGTTACCTGGAGCTCCAGTTACCTGATCACATCAGGTGAGAAAACAGTTACTCACACTATATATTGCGAATTGGCAGAGGTTGGGGTTGATGAGACATTGGATCTGGTCCTAGTGGCTAAATGGTCTACGAGTTCGCCTGGTAACCTACAGGTCCTTGGTTCGAACCCCGATTGTTGGGTATTGCTGAAGAATGCCAAACTAGAATGGAACAGCAGCCCAGCGTTCTCATTATCTCTGAAAGGCTTACACCCAAAGTGATAACACTGTAACTAATTTCTACAACCAATTTCGTTCAGAGAAGCGTTTCCTCTTTTTATAACATCCATCTAAAATTTCACTAAAATAACCTTTTTGGAGAGGTCGATAATATTTTGGTGGGCTGACCAAGTTTTTCGACAGCACTGAAGAGATCATATCCTATTTGTGAAAAAATTGCAATGCACATGTTCTGCACTAATGTACACCAGAATACAGCCAAATATAAATTAGATAAACTGCTAGGTTGCCTTTTGATGCCTAAGGCCTCACTTCAGCAAGTATGCATCTGAGCAGACTGAACTGCCATTCTCGAGCTTCTGCCATGATGGTCATCTCATATACTCGCAGGTTCACTAACGCGGTAATTGCCATTACTTAACTTCCTCATGAAATAACCTCAAGTGTTCATTACTCTTGGAAGCAATCTTTTAGTCTTCTGCTATCAACATTTACAGGTTGCATTGGTTACTGCTTAAGGTTTTTTTTACTAATGTACATCAGCTTAGTGAATATTGCTCAAGTATTAGGAAATAAAACCACATCAAGTTACCACAATACCACTATTGTAACTGTCCGATAGCAGATTCGACAACTAAGCAACACCACTTCAAGTTACAACATTCTATAAGGATCTAAGACACAATTATTGGGAAGTTAATCAATTTAAACTCATTTTTGACCATTAGAAAGGTTTGAATCACGAAGACTGAGTGAAATAATAAGAAACTTGTTTGCAGTTATTACTTAGTTACGGTGTGCATAAGATACTGATGTAGTACCTTCAACTCCTTTCAGAGTTGAGGTGATTGGCAGTCAGAAACGAAAATAGGCCACAGGTTTAGAAAGGTTCTCGTCACCCTAATTAACTAAGGCAGTCTAGAATTCATAATTACTTAGACATGAATATAAAGATAACTAACAACAACCCCAGAGTAAAACAAAATAGAATAGAATGACTTTACTCACGGAATACACCACCCTCCCTTATATTCAGGATAACAATATTACAAGGGAGAAAATGTCACACGGTGGTTAAAATACATGGTAACCATAAAGAAATATTTGTAAAATTATTGCTTCTAGACTTCACTTTTAAAAATGCAAATCACGCCTCAAGCCAATTCATCGATAGCTTTCAAATAGTTATGAAAACAAGCAAACGTTAACTTAATACTGGTATCCTTTACCTACAAGTAAAGCGTTACAAAGTGGCGATTTCTTTGACAGTCGATTGATGACTAGTTTAAAATGAAAAATGTAAAACATATTTAAGTCACTAAAAGACTGATCAGATCATGACCTTACCTGCTTAGCAACAAATTTGTACATCCGAATTGCAGAATCACTTACTGGCCGCGAGTAGTTCTACAGATACAGTTGTGGGATATCGCCATCTCAAGCAAATCATTCCTTACAGGAATGAAGATAAGCCTCTGGACCTGTAAAGTAGCACATCCAGAATCTTACAGACAGACAAGTGTCACAGTGGTATTAAGTGAATCAGATTGTCATACTGTTTGAACATTAAGAGATAACAAAGAATAAGCTGTCCGAGTATGTTCTAAAAGAGGTAGTAAGCTTGTATGAATCAATAATGTAGCTATTAAAGTGAGATATGAATTGATTTTTTTGATTGGACACTAGTTAGTAACTAGTGTAATGTGTCTAGCCATATCTTTTGGTGTAGAGTGAATTCTATCAGTCAGGTTTGCAATGTGGCCACCATGCTAGGAGGCTCGCCATCACGAAACACTGTAGGCTGTTGGTAGTAGATCGTTGGAGGCAATCGACAGGAAGCCTTGGACCTAGATTTCGTGCCAGTCGGCACTTGTCAGTAAGGCACGTCTGTAACCTTGAAAGAACTCATGTCCCCCCTGGGATTCGAACCCGCGTCACTTAGTGTTGTAGTTAGAGACGTTACCACTGAGGTATCTGGGCTCGTGATTGACTGTGTTGGATATTTTGATTGAACACTAGTCACATTAGTCATAACCCACAGCATTCGACTATAATTCTTTGAATTCATTATAAGCATTCACTTCTACGAAAAGATCAGCATACAAGTACATGGAGCATCAATTACTGAAAAAACTCAGCTGACGTAGACTGACAGTATGATTATCTTGAATGTAGAGCAACATGTTAACTACTAGTGAAGAAAAGTTTGGAACACATAGTGAGTATGGAGTGTAAACGTAATTTAGATATTTCTATGTTACCACCCATTTCACTAGTGTCTACTCCTGAAAGAATTGTTATTCGCATTTCTTAATTTGATTTGTGAATTTCCGGGCAAGAAACAAATTCCAGGATGTCAAGGTATGTTACCTTTAAGGAAACACAATAAGATCTACCTAAACTTGTAAATCCCTAGAAAGCATTACCCAGAATATAACACTGAATGCTGTAACAGCGAGATTCCAATTAATGACTCAAAAGAAGTTACGTTTGTTTTGCAATTTCTTCGGTGTGACAAATAGTTCCATCTGAGATTTCTTTTCTTGGCAGATTTTGAGAAGAACCTCCTAATATGTAGCTACCAATGTCGACTAATCTGCTGAACCCTACAAAAAACATCAATATCCCAAAAGGGGTAAATATCAAATAAACTTAGTGGTTATTATTTATAACTCATCGCTTCGTGACAAATTTACGTATGACGCTATGAAAACAGTTAATTATGGTCAAACTGTCGTAAGAGAGTGTCAGAAAACATTCCTTGTAAAACGAACTAATAAGCAGCAAGATTGGGATAATCTACTTTTGACTGCACACTTATTGTGTCTTCAGTGCGTCCCTATGGAGAATCCAAACAAGTATAGCAATAAATTCCCGTTAATACCCACTGAAAACCCCTCATTTGAGACCAAGTGGTAAACAAGACAAATGGGAGTTCTTTAAATTAGCTGAGATCCCTTTATATTAAACTTTCATAGTTAACATATACATTGCAGAAGTTATGAAGACAGGGAATGATAAACTGGAAAATTATCAAATGAAGACAATCTTATTACAATGCAGAAGAACAAGTAGCACGGAAAAAAATAACTAGTCCCGCATGAAGCTAAAAGACATGCATAAATGATTTCTTCAGAAGAAAGTTTAAATCATAATGAGAGTACTAAGAGTCCGCATATATTTACACTTAGACAGTAAACGATGACTAATTGGCTTTGGAGGTTTAGTGTGAAATAAAAAAAACAGGAGTGGCGTAAAATAGGATTTCAACGTTGACACTCGAGCTTATCACAACCAAACACGAAAGCAGACATTAACCAAGAATTTCGAGAAAAAATTCATGAAGAGTACACATCAATATTACAACAAGGACTAAAACTCTGGCTTTTGGTAGTGTAAACTGTTAATCTTATGATAAATCAAACATAGCATAGGGTTTATAAACATTGCTATAAATAAGTCAGTATTTGGAGGAGAACTGAAAGAATGAGGAAAATAATCAACCGAAGCACTATGTTAAATTACAACATGTCACAGACGTTGAATCTGAGGAGTCGACTAACCGGTGACCCTGGGTAACTGTTGACGCTTCATGTCCACGCGCGGATGTTTTACGAAGGATGGCAAGAGTTAACTCCTCGAATGCTTTGCTGACATTCTCTCCAGTTTTGGCACTGGTCTCAAGAAACTTGATCTGAAGAAGGTGATAAAAGAATAAATTTTATTACCCCGTGTTCTTCTGCCTTTTGCGAACCCTCTTCATACAACACCACACGACGATCAGTTACATCACACTTGTTGGCAACCACCAACTTTTCAACATCCTCTGATGCCAGAGACTGAATATTTCCCATCCACCGTTGTATATTATCAAATGTTTTGCGACTAGTAATATCATATATTAGCATAATCCCCATTGCCCCACGATAATAAGATGCAGTGATCGTTTGAAAGCGTTCCTGACCTGCTGTGTCCCATATCTTTTAAATTTTGGTCTACCTAAAGTGCTACTCACCTGAAGCTTTATTCTCTTTCCCTCTAACTCGATAGTTTTAATCTTGAAATCGATCCCTATAGTTGAGATAAAGGTTGACGTGAAAGAGTCTTCAACATAACGAATGAGCAGACAGGTTTTCCCGACACCAGAATCCCCGATCAACAGTAATTTGAACAGCACATCATAGCACTTCTTCGCCATCTCCTGACATGTTTGAAAATAGTAAATGAAGTACTCACTTACTCCCGTATCGTTTGAAGAGCCGCCGTTAAGTGTTTTGTTCAGTTGGGTCAAATAAACTACTAACACATAAATATTTGTTTCCAGCTATTTTTTGTAGATGCAAGCAGATACAGTACATGCCATTAGGTGAATTAATACGGACCAGTATGGATCTTTATGGGTGAAGTATTCTAACTACTTTCCCAGTAGGAGAATTTTATCGTATGTGGGATATATGGGGAAAAACGTGGATATTTCACAGTTAAAAACTAGGAAAACTGGATGGAAGTGAATTATTTTCGAAAATGATGTAGTTTAATTTGGAAAAAAGCAAGAACGATGGTGGTTTGCGCAGAATATTATGGTGCCATCATCTAATTTGTTGGCTTCTCGTCAGTTGCTTATAGTCTGCAAATTTTTTATGATTTCAGTTGACAGAAAGTTCCACACTTAGTGAACCGCGTTCAAAAGATTACTCTTTTACCGTCCGTCGGCACCCGTTTTTGGAACCAGAGCCTTCCTTTTCACTATCCCCACTGCTACATGGGATAATATCAATATAGCTAAATCAGACATAGAAATTGCAAATTACATCCATAATATAGTAATAAACACATGCATCCATTATTTGTTTCTGTCAAATGAAATGCCATCAGATAAGTGGTAGCTGAAACAATTTGATTCGATCCTTTTTCAGGCGTAAAATATTAGCAGAAATTACCACGCATCTGCAATTTCTTACTCCCACTTCAAGTGATCAATAAATAGTGCTGATTGTATGCATATAACTAGAGGTGAGTAGCTGTATACGATTCATCACATTCACATCAATCGGTAATGCTTCCTAACCAGATGGGGGTGAACTAAACGCCGGACGGCTGTCTCATTAGTTTTCGGTCAAGCCCACTAGATATGCACTTAGTATGACTCAGACCGCAGAGCCGAATAAGTCCAAGCAAAATTTCGCTTCTTATTAATTGCCTAGGCGAATATGTAACATCATAAACCAATGTCAGAATTTTGGAGTTAATTTGCAATTCACTCAGTTCGACTGCGTGACGTCTAACCAAAGTTTCTTTCCGAAGAGAACTTTTTCACATCACGATATGTGACATGTCTGATACCCTTAATTGCGAGCGAGAAAGCATATATAATTTCATCAAATTGCATCCCATAGGATGATTGCGATAAGTAGCTTAAATCAACAGCCACAAATTCCGCCTGGTGTATAGACAATAATAATGATTTAAGGCTCTATATGGTGACGGTAAATGAGGTTTCACAGTATGAATAGGCTGAAATGTCTCTATAACCACCTTCCTGGAATGAAAGAGACTCCATGGAAATAAACATGGCGTACACCCCACCCCACTTGCTAATGCCTAACGGACAGCGCCTAACAAGGGAAAAGTTAAGGGGCATTTGGACATCTGAAAGGCATTAGGCTGCCGCCTTCAATATTCACTAGACAGTTAAGGAATGGCGAGCCATAGACTGGTGTGTTTCAGAAAACCTCTTCCTAAAGACGATATCCTACTGAATATGTACCAGGAAGTCATGGGGAGACCTTGAAGAGATAGCTGGAATACATGCAAATCCAGAAAGAGTACAGTGGCATTTACCTCATCATCCAGTTATGATTCCGAAAAAGCCTGAAAAGCTTCGAGTAGTCTTTGACTGTGCGGCTATATCTAATGGTACATCTTTGAATGATCATTTATTACAGGGACGAAATGCTGTCAGCAGTTTAGTCGAAGTACTTTTGTGCTCGCAAGTTTGTTGTTGCAGTGCTGGCCGCCGACACAGAAGAAATATTTTTGCAGGTGAAGACTGCGAAACAAGACGGAGGAGCATTTCATCTTTTATAGTGGAAGGGTGGTAATTAACACAAGAGGTTTCTGAGTATTAATTAAGCATTCATCTCTCCGGCGCTGGGCTAATGATGTATCAACAAAGACTGTTAAGACCTGCAGCGAAAGAACAGGTATAGTTCCCAGGATTGTCGAAACGTTTTTCTACGTGGATGACTGCTTAACATCAACCGATTACCTTGAAGAGGCTATTTCCTCAGCTGAGCAAACGAGGTCTATTCTTGAGAAGCGAGGTTGTAGAATGACGAGATTGGTCAGTACACCAGGCAAGTACGGGAGTCTATGAGCCAGAAGAACTTGCACCAGCAGTGAGAGAAATAGTGAAATCTATAAGCTTGACATGCCCATAGATAGGCGCCTCACTGTATGACTTTTTAGTCTTCTTGGCACCTACAGTCCAACCCACTCAACAACTTCCACAGAACCATACAAATTGGGCTTGAATTAGGATGGCGGAATACCTAAGAACAAAAGTGACGTCTGGATCAAGCTCCTTCATGGTTTCGAAGTGGTCACGAGCGTGTCACTCCTGCGCTTTCTACAGTCTTTGGTCATGAATCAGTTACATATCTTTCGTATTGCCTCCGAAATTGGATGTGGAGCTGTGGCTTGTGCCATGCATTCTGAAGAACACAGAAATGTCTGATGTCATCTTTTTGTGGCCAAAGCTAAGGTAGCACATCTTTAGGTTCAAACACTACCAAGGCTTGAACTGACAGCAGAAGTCTTGGTCACCAAGATGGGGTTTTTGTTACGATAGAAAATGGACTTCAGTTTCTTACGGGTGATTTATTGGACTGATTTGAAAATTGTCTTGTACTACGTTATCAGCACAAATAATATATTTGAAACACTCGTAGCCAACTGGGTCCCAGCAACTTACGAACACTCAAGGTTTTTCACTGGGGGTGTTTGCCATCCAAAGAGCGCTCGGCAGACTTCGCACCTCGTTAAATACTTTTTGGGGATGAATACATTCAACACTATTCAAAGGCTCTATGGCCACAATGCGTTTTAATGGAGTTGATACATCCTTTAATTTTTGGTCCAGTGAAGATAAATTGGTTACAGCGTACTTGCTTGGACATCATAAGAATGGTTCAGGCGGCAGATTTTAGAAAGGAACTTGAGTTGTTAGTGATTTCTAGTATTTCGGGAATACGAACATTCAACTCACCTCGGTGCAAACTTCATCCTATCCTAATAAGTGGCTTAATTTGTGTAGGCGGTCGGTTACAAAACGCGTTATGCCCCCTGTGAACGCGAACATCCGGAAGAACTGCCTTCGAAAAATCATGTGGCGGAGTTGATTCTAATGCACTAGCAGAACATAAGAGGGCATATAGGTGTTATATAGCTGCTAGCAACTGTTAGAGAAACGTTTTGAACACAACGAAGAGGTGAAGACATGAGGTAGGTTATCGGAAATTGTATGCTGTGCAGAAATAAAAATGCTAAGCCAGAGTGTCGACTTACAACAATTTTGGCACCTGTAACTCCATATTTCGGGTATTTAACCATTATCAGAACAATTGAATTTCCAATGATGTAATCCATATATAAGTTGCCTATGATACTTCCATTAGATATTTCTCACACAACAGACGTGTTGCTCGCTTCAACCGGTCTAAAGTCCACCTCATTCCTCGAATATCTCCATAAATTTGAAGGCAATTATCCTTGTTGTTATTCCTGCTTAAGGTTTCTGACTCCGTTTCATACTAAGTAATACATCCACATCTTCAAGTTCTGCCGCGTTCACGGTTCGTGAAAACTCAGTGTATTGTGAAAAGTAATTTCACTTTAGTTACGTGGTTGGCTATTTCTCCTGGATCCCAACGCCTCCTGACTGATTTATCATCGTTAAGTGTCTGTCGATCTACTTACTTTTAATATATCTATATAGGTTGTTCAAATAATTGTGGTATCACAGACCCCAATGCAACACCTCCAATATGATGAAATCCAATTACCCTGGCTGTCGTACCACACCCAAACATACGTGAAATGCTTCTACAAGTTAAACCCTCAGTACCTGACCTCAGGTGAAGGTAATCAGTTTATTTGAAGTTCTATCAACCTGTTGTCAACCATGTTTCCAGATCTGTAAGGCCATTAATAATTATTCTGAACGCATAGTTATAAAGTGGTTTGTAGTAGTATTTTCCACAACAAGCAAACAAGCATTTTAAATTTATTCTGCATAATATATAGAAAAATGTCATGTAAATCCAGCATAATAAGCTGTGCCAACCAGTTGTCTTCTCCAAGACCATCTTCTCCACCTCTATCACTGATGGTCCCACTCACCATTTCACTCTACCAAATATACCATGGCTCACTTAACTCTAGCCATGAATACTCCTTTACCTTACACTTTATAAACTTGCAATTTCCAGTCCTCTCCAGTAACCTGTATATATAATCATCAAGATAAAACTGCTAAAAGCGTCCTCGCTTATCTGGTTCTCGTAACCTAATGAAAAGCATTCTCCATGGAGGTTATTAACGTGCATAAGCCTGTATGATTGCAAAAGGCACGAAGCAGTGCAGTGGTTCAACCACAGTTATTGTCACAGCAGTTGAAGATTGAACGATCAATTCATGGTTGTTTGCTCAAAACCAACTTCCTCAATTTTCGCAAAGGCATCAATCAGTCAGTCATCGTCTCATCGGTCGCTGTTCAGAAGGAAGTCGGGAGACAACCATCAGAAGTAATATTGTGATTTATTATTGTAATATTTGTTCATAGACCTTAGTTGTAAAGCTTATTTGTATATGGGCTATATGTTGGTGTTAGTGTAAATAATTCTCGAGTCGCCAATCTGTGTTCTGGTTTTTGCGTCCGTTCGTACTAAGCGTTTCTGAGGAGCTCCGAGGAACAGCGTGAGTCCCAGCGTAGCAAGAGCTGGGCAGTAACGGTTTACGTGACTTGGCTGACATAAGAGTTGTGATTAGCATGAAAGGTCAGAGTAAATAATTAATCCAAGGTATTTGCTGCTTAACTTGGTTTCAATTTCCGTGCCATCTATTCTACAGGGATCATGAGAGCTTACTAGTTCATGTAAGTCACGTCGATGCTTGAAAGTATAGTCAAGTGTTTGATATTTGGAAGGATTTAACATAAGACCATTTGACTTGGGCCACTTGTTGATGTCCAACAGAAAGCTATTAAGTTTGGAGCTGTCAGACTCGGAAGTGATAGGCAGTGATACAGTCAGATCATCTGCATATTTGACAAAGTTAGTTTTGTTTGAATGAGGCAGGTCATGTAGGAAGAAAGAAAAAAGAAAAGGAGAGAGGACAGCACCTTGTGGGACACTGGATTTTGTAAGCGAGGTAGAAGAAGATTTGCCGTTATATACAGTATACTGCATTCTATCAGAAAAATAGGAATGCAACCAACTCTTAGCCCAGGATCCTGTTTGTGTCAACGATAGCTTATTTAACAAAAGGCCCCTAGGTACAGAGTCAAAAGCAGATGTGTAGTCTAAGAAAGCACTACGAACATATTTAGCACCTTTGTCTAAACAAGAGAGAACATTGTGATATGAGACGACCGCAGTATCCAAGGTACTTCTACCATGTTTGTATGCAAATTGTTTAGGATCATTAAAAGGTTTCAAAGCGGGTTCAAGACGAAGTAAAAGTAATTTTTCCGTCAATTTTAAAAAGGAGGAAGTAATTGCAATAGGCCGAAATTTAATATCAGAACCAGAAGATGGTTTTGGTATAGGGATAATTTTATTGTTTTTCCATGCAAAAGGTAGAACGTTACCGGAAAAAGAAGCATTAAAAATGTTAGTAAGAGGATAACACAAAGTATCATGACAATTCCTGAGGACAATGGCAGGTATGCCGTCAGGACCAAGGATTTGAGAAGGCTTAAGAGACCGGAGACATTTAAGCACATCAAGGGTATTAAAACCACTAAAATTACTGTAAATATGATTTGTATCATTTGGAAAGGTGTCAATAGAAGAGCGTATGAAAGATTTATTAAGTGTCGACATTAAGAGATGGGACAGAAATACATCGCTTACCGTTAGTAATTTCTTTGAAAAGTTTCCATAAATCAGAAGGGGTTTTACATGACAAAAATCTTTGATTATATAAAACATTTGGTCTTTTCATTTCCAGTTTTATCAAAATGTTTAACGATTTTACACCAGGCATATCATTTTTTTCGAACAACAGTTCTTTATCTCTACGTAGCTTTTTGAGATATGGCGAAGATAAGCGATCAAGTCGAATGAATAATGTTTCTTTACGACAACATATTTCGAAACAGAATTTAAGATAATCGGTAGTGTTTGTGATTGTTTCATCTAATGTTTGTTCTGTAAATAAGTCCCAGTTAGTGTCTTTCAACATGTATCTGAGCTTGTCTAGGTTGTCTTTTGAGTAGCATCTCCGTTGAACTTTACTGTAGAGGTGAGAGAGGACACCTTTGTGTGATTTGGAATATATTTTAGGCAGTACACGTATGATGCAGTGGTCAGAGTTAAGTAAAGGAGCACGTTTGTGAGCTTCATATATACCAACATCATTGATAAATACTAGATCCAGTGTTTTACCAAGACGGGTGGCAAAGTTAACAATATTGTCATGACCAAGTGATATAAGGGAGGAGCAATCGCTTCCATTGAAGTCGCCAGTGACTATTAATAAGGAGCATTACCAACAGCTAGATGACAGATGATATCAATTCAGTATATACAATATGAACATATGTACAAAATCACACACCAAGCACGTTGGCCTGCTTATTGATGCACTACCCTTTGAAGAATTGTAGGACTTACAGCAGCATGCCTACAACCCTTCTCAGGTTAACGCCCTAGGTTGGAAAATCGTCGAAGAGTTCATTTGCTGATTTCCTCCTATCAGCTATATCCTCAAATCTGAACGGTAACACGCCCATGTCATTGTATCGTAGAATATAGATGACGAACAAACACACAATGTATCTGGTCAACCAAGCGTAGGCACAGAGTAATTTACACCAAAGATAATAGCATTCAAATAGTAACTTGAAACTAGAAATGCCTTTATTTATGCAAGTCAATTTAACAATTACTCTCTCGTTTACACTTGGCTTATCCTCTCTAAACTGAGCAATATCTTTCGTCTTTTCAAATGTAATATTTGTTCATAGACCTTAGTTGTAAAGCTTATTTGTATATGGGCTATATGTTGGTGTTAGTATAAATAATTCTCGAGTCGCAAATCTGTGTTCTGGTTTTTGCGTCCGTTCGTACTAAGCGTTTCTGAGGAGCTCCGAGGAACAGCGTGAGTCCCAGCGTAGCAAGAGCTGGGCAGTAACGGTTTACGAGACCTGTCTGACGGTTATTTTCACATCATCACAAAGGAGGGAAATTGGGGCATGCTGGTCGGCAGATATGATGGTGCTCACTAATAATAGTCGCTTCATTCTGTATGATATTATCGTGCTTTCTGATGACCTTAGATTAAATTATGAGCTCAGATCCCAATCTTAAAATCAACAGTTATTTGGATCTGAGTAACGAATATTTTATTTGTTTTTTATTTTTGATTGCAGCTTGATTCCACACTGTATTTTTGGTACAAGTATGGAATTTTCAGTATGGATATCGGTAGCCTAAATTTCGCAGGCCTACCATAGATATCAGGTATGCGTCGGCAGGGGATCGAACCTCGGACCATGTGCATAATCGGTGAGATTCCTAACCACTGTGCCACCGACGCACAGTGCTTCTTCCTCTGACATCCACCGATTCGCCTAATTTTTTGCCGAGATGTCGACCTTGTGATCTTATGAGTCATTGTGTTTTACATAATCCACATTTTTGAGACTTTGAAGCCACTTCTGACTAATCTTAAAGGCTTTCCAATAATTCTTGTCTGATCACCATTAGATCCCCATTAGTCTGAACTGTCTTAGCACTTAGTAAAGTTGACACTTACTCTTACCATTCATATTCCTTTCTTCCTAAAAGTGTGGCTGTCCTGAAGAAAAAGAGACACTTTGTTTGATGGAAGCTATATTTTCGTGAAAAACATAGTGGTTCCGGAAGTCAGATCAATTTGATTCGCATTATAAATGGAAAATGAACGTTTTAATCCTGAGAGGCGCAGCCTCTTCCTATCTGTCTCCTATAAATTAAATTTTTAACGGTAAATAATGTGCTTTATTACAGTTAGCAATTTCTTAACAACAGACAGCAGAGAAAACGAAGTTTGTGTCGATTATATGGCACGCCCCTCTTCTGAATTGGTGATAACTTTACTCAGTTGTTATTAGGGGTTTCGTTTGTCAGACAGAAATATATCAGCATGATTTCGTGAAAATTCAACGATATATGTTGGAATATATGTGTAAAACTTGGGCAGTGTGATAGTAAGTAAATCCATGTTAGTTTGTTCATTAGATATATCACACAGTGTCAGCCAAGTCTCATAAACCGTTAATGCCCAGCTCTCGCTAAGCTCGGGCCCACGCTGTTCTTAGAAGATTTCTCAGAAACTCTTAGTTATAA